CCCCAAAACCCCAAAACCCCAAAACCCCAAAACCCCATCAGAGTATTTTAAATTGAAGATAAATTACATAATTAAGTTATTTTTTACATAAAAATATGGAAAGCAGAGAAAACCTATCTGAAAAGTCTGTCTCATCAAAGACAATCTCACATAATATCGACCTTCTGAGCATGTCTAAGAAGAGTGTTTCGAGTACATCGCTAAGAAAAAGAGTGGCTCGTAGACGTCAATTTTCAAGTCTGAGCGTCAGCACTAATAAAGAGGATTCCAGTGATGAAGGGAGTTCACCAAGTTATGATTTGAAGAAAAATTACAATATTATAAAATCTCTTGGCTGCGGCACTTACGCTTTGGTCCAATTGGCTGAAGAAAAAGGCACTGGACGACAAGTTGCGATAAAAATAAGTAGAGGCATTAATTCAAGAGACCTTCTCAAAAGTGAATATGATATTTTAAGCAAAGTGTCTCACGAGAGAATTATCAAACCATTATCTTTCCAAGAGAATTCAGCAAAGAAAGAGTCTTACCTTATCATGGAATATTTTGAAGGGCAAAATCTAAATGAATTCATTGAGGAAAATGGAGTGTTGGGTCAGACAGATGCACGGTTAATTTTTAACCAACTTTTATCTGCTGTTGAAGCTCTACATAGTGCTAGGATTGCTCATAGAGATATTAAACCAGAGAACATTCTGGTAAATAAAGATCTGCAAATTAAGCTAGTCGATTTTAACATCAGTAAGGTTTATAAACCATTAAAAGAAGATGAGAAAACTAAATTCAGTTCAATTTTTTATACCCATATCAGTACTCCTCTCTATGCAGCCCCAGAGCTCAGAACTTCCATTGGATACACTGAGAGCATTGATATCTGGGGGTTAGGCATTGTCCTGCTCTCTATGCTTTGTGGAACACTTCAGGATGAAAAACTTCCAAGCGGTACTGCTGAAAGAATGCTAAGTTTGCAAGGAGTCATTAGTCTCAAAATTGAGGAATCAAAATGCTCAGAATTCCTTCTGAGTCTTCTCTCAGAAGACCCAGAAGAGAGGCCTATTGCCTCAGAATGCCGTCTCTCCTCCTGGATGAGCGAGGAGTAGGCTTAATCTAATATAACTTATGAAAAATTTCTAAACTTTAAGTTACTAACCATGTCTGGCTTTGAGGGATTTAGGACTTCGGGGAGAGAAATAGTCTATGAAATCATTCTTAAGTTTATACCTTCGGTAAGAGTTCAAGAATTTCTACCCGAACTCATTATGCTGAAGAAGAAATCCCCCACACAAAATGGTGAGGTAGGAAACATTTCAAATTTTTGTAGTTATTACCAGCAAAAATTCAGATATTTTGGAACTGTTTTTTGGAATTTTGACTTCACCGCTTCTGATATCGAAAACAATGTAAATGATAGTAAATGAAATATTTTTGGCTTTCCAGGCAATGGAGACCAGCAACCATCTTTGTATTTTATGGTTAAAGCATCTCCATCCAGCTTAGGTAAGCCAGTGAATGGATTTTTGATCAAAGAACTGCACATTTTGGAATTTTATATAGGGTTGGATTCACTTCTTAAAACTTGTGATATGAAATATGACCATCTCAGTTTTCTCTCAGTTGATATTATAAATACTAGGTGAGGATAAAACATGTCTGGATAGTATGAAGAAGCAATAATTCTATACCAATATGGTTACATTTTGGAGCATAATTATCCGGAATTTTAGAAATTTTATGCTCTAAAATTTACTTACAGTGAAAACCTCATACCAATTATCAGGTCCTCCAAATACAATCTTTATATGGTCTTTTAAATTAATTAAAACAACTTCAGATATTAACAGAAAGAATGGACAGGTTCACTTTTTTGGATTAAAAAATTCTTCCTTTTTATTGACTTTAGTTTGGAACGACCGAAGTTTCAAACACTAATGGACTCATTGAGTATAATTTGTAGCTAAGCTTGTCTTAAGAGAAATAGGAGATATACATACAGCATAAAGCCAGGTAATGGTAACAACAGATGGATAAAAAGGCTTCTCAAGATATGAAATTATTAATGTACGCTAAACTTCCCTGATGTTATAACTGAATGGTCTGAGGAGCACAAATGATGCCAATAAGCCTCTGATTTTTAGGTTTATTGCTTAACTTTAACGCTATAACTGTATGGGCTCATATTCTCTCATTAAACCAATAAAATTCAGGGTTGAGAACTTTTATAATCAGTGATACAAATCACGGTGAAATTTCTATACCATCAAAACGAACTGACGAGCAGTAAAACTAAACTATAATAAGCCAATTTCAATTATGAAATATTCAAAAGGGGTTTTGGGGTTTTGGGGTTTTGGGGTTTTGGGG